TGGAGTGCGATGGCGCGATCTCGGCTCACTGCAACCTCTGCCTCCCGGGTTGAAGCAATTCTCCTGTCTCAGTCTCCTGAGTAGCTGGGACTACAGGCTTGCGCCATCATGCCCAGCTAACTTTAGTATTTTTAGTAGAGACAGGGTTTCACCACATTGGTCAGGCTGGTCTCAAACTCTTGACTTTGTGATCTGCCCACTTTGGCCTCCCAGGGTCCTGGGATTACAGGCATGAGCCACCGTGCCTGACCTTTTCTTTCTCTTTTCTAAGGAGAGCTCATGCTTAGAATTAGGATCATTTGTGTTGGCATTATCCTCCTGCTGTGTGAAGCTAAGTACAGAGAATGATTGTAATTGCATTTTTTACGGTGATTTCTTTAATTCATCTTTATGAATGAATATAGTTCTTCTGGAAGTAAGTTCAAAATGTAACAGTCTCTAGCTCAAACAAATATTACCTTGAATGAAATAAATTTGTGAGAGTTACTGTTTCCTAAGACAAATTATTACAAATTAGACATGGAAGTCTGACCAGGAGAACGGTGATCTAGACCAGATCCATTGCAGAGGTGGGGTGGTGGTAGAGATGGCCTTTATTTTATTTTATGTATATCATTATTAGACAGGTTTTGACTTGACTGTCATTTCTTTATTTGCAGTATTTAGCATTTTTTTATACAATGGAAAAAAAAAACATTGTTTGTACTATTCATTTTGGTTGCTTTACCTCAGGGCCAATGGAGAATATTTTAAATAAGATCAGTCCCTGATCATCTCGTTGTTTTTATTTTTGTCATTTAAAGATCTTAGATTTTATACTCTTATTCCCAGAATCATTAGGAACTCTAACTTTCAAGGGAGTAGAAATGAATCAAGGCAAACTGGCTTTCTAGGAACAATACAAGTACATTCTATTTCATGTTTCATGATGATCTTTTGTCTCAGTATGTTTCATCAAAAGGAGGGAGCTTCAGAGGCTTTTTTTCCTCATTTTAAAATGAGTTCAGGCTCAATGCCGAGTGTTTTTACATTTTTATTATGAATAAATGTTTAACTTAGGAGCAGCAGATTGACCCAAAGGTACAACATTTACCTTTATAGTTTTTTGAGATGCTAATTTAGTCTCAGTTTTTTTAACATATTCTATTTCCTTTCTTCCTCCCTTAGAATAGTAGCATAAAGATCTTGTATTGGTGATGAGTTAGGAAGAAGAGGGCTTTATTTTCTAGGGGCATTTTTATTGAGCTAGTGGCTGTTTGTGAGCCTTTGGGCAACTATAAGGATTTTCAGAGATAAGGTAGAAATTACTTTATAGGGCCGGGCGTGGTGGCTCACGCCTGTAATCCAAGCACTTTGGAGGCCAAGGCGGGCAGATCACCTGGGGTCCGGAGTTCAAGACCAGCCTGACCAACATGGTGAAACCCCATTAAAAAAAAAAAAATTACTTTATAGGTTGATAATTATTCTTGTCCAGGTAAAAGTAAAACTAAAAAGGTTTTTAGGTTTTTTTCCCCAAAACTGTAGAAAATAGAAAAACAGAAAGCCCAATTACTTTCTTTTTTTTTTTTTTGAGACAGAGTTTCACTCTTGTTACCCAGGCTGGAGTGCAATGGCGCGATCTCGGCTCACCGCAACCTCCACCTCCTGGGTTCAGGCAATTCTCCTGCCTCAACCTCCTCAGTAGCTGGGATTACAGGCTCGTGCCACCATGCCCAGCTAATGTTTTTTTTGTATTTTTAGTAGAGACGGGGTTTCACCATGTTGACCAGGATGGTCTCGATCTCCTGACCTCGTGATCCACCCACCTCGGCCTCCCAAAGTGCTGGGATTACAGGCTTGAGCCACCGCGCCCGGCCAATTACTTTCTACTGGAACATTTCCCATGTTCTTGATTGTAGAACATGAGAAAAGCAGGGTCCTGTATACCCAGGTGACATTATGCCTGATCCAGTAGGGATGAAATAGACATCAGAGCAGAGTGGTTAAGATATTTCATGTAATTCAAGCAATATTTATGGAATGCCAAGAGAAAAAAGCAAGGGTTAAATGCCATGGCGATGAGGAAAACCCAGTTGTTGTTGTAAGCCAAAAGGTATCTGAGACAGGTCTCAATCAATTTAGAAGTTTATTTTACCAAAGATAAGGACGTGTGCCCAGAAGACAGATCTGTGCCTTTCCCCAAAGATGATTTTGAGAGCTTCAGTACTTAAAAGGGAAAATCAGCCTGGAGGGGGAATGGGGAGGGCATGGTCACATTCCTGAATTCACATGTTGCAAGAGGAAAAGAGCCGGTAGGGGAATAGTCAAGTATTCATCTCATGCTTAGTAAATCAGCACTTTACATTAAGGTGAACATAGAGGTAAACATAGAACCTGTAGAGATATTTAACTTTTTATCTGTAGCTATCTGCTTAGGAACAGAAGGTAAGGCAGCTTCTTGCATGACTCAACTTTCAGCTTATTTTTTTTTTCTTTTGGCATAGTGAAATTAGGGTCCCAAGTTTTTATTTTCCTTTCACATTGCATTCAAGTAGCTTTCAATCTGATGGAATGGTTGCATTGAGGTACAGTGTTAAGTCATGACAGGTCTAGAATTAGTGTTTGTTGGAGAGGAGAAGAGGAAGCATGGGGTTAAAGGAAGGCAAGAGGGAATTCAGTTTGTGAGAACAGGAAAGACTTCATGAAGGCAAAGGCATTTTAAATGAACTTTGAAAGAAGTGAAAGGTTTCTAAAAGGGAAAAGGGAAAGAAGAGTGTCCCACCTAGTTGGAAGAAACAAGCTGTGGAAGAGAGCTGGGTAAGAGTTGATGTGTTTGGGAATAGTAAGTGGTTTAGTTTGATTATAGAGTATAGATAGGGCACACTTCAGTCCAGCAAACATTTGTTGAGTGCCTACTATGTGTATTATTTGTATTTTGATATTTCAGGGTGAGGGAGGTGTAGCTAAATATTCCTTTGGCCTAAGGGAGAGGAATCAGAAGAAAAGAGCTATTGAATATGTGGAAATGAAGGGGTAATTTATGAAAAGAAAACTGGGACTTGATAGAATTAAGAATAAAAACAGAGTTAGTTTTGGCATCGAATAAGGCCTGTCTTCCTCTGAGACTATAAGGGAATGAAGGAGATGGTTGAAAGTCAGGTGAATTGTGAAGGCCTTTGAGCTTTATACATGTGGGATTGATCCATAAATTAACAAACATTTGTTGAGGCCCTATTATACCAAGTAATAGGCACTGAGAAAGCAAAAACATGGTCTTAATCTAATCTCTATTGATTCTTTTCCCTCTGTCAACTTTTTAATTTTTTTATTTTGTTTTTAGACAGAGTCTTGCTCTGTCACCCAGGTTGATCTTGGCTCGCTGCAACCTCCGCCTCCTGGGTTCAAGGAATTCTTGTGCTTCAGCCTTCTAAGTAACTGGGACTACAGGTACCTACTACCATGCCTGGCTAAGTTTTGTATTTTTAGTAGAGACAGGGTTTCACCATGTTGGTCAGGCTTGTCTCAAACTCCTGGCCTCAAGTGATCTGCCTGCCTGGGATTATAGGTGTCAGGCACTGCACCTGGCCCCCTCTGCCAGTTCTTTGAATGCAATGGCCAGTGAGCACATATTGATTATCTTTTTTTTTTTTTAGTGGGCTGAGCAAGTTAAGCCTGGAATTTTTTTTTTTTTTTTTTCTACAGTGTCTAAAATGTGATTCCTTGAATATGGTAGGGGACCAGTAAATATTTATTGAATTTGTTAAACGTGCGCTTTGAATGAAGAGATTCCCCAAACAGGGTTTGTGTGAGCAACATGGCTGTTTATTCACCCAGGTGCAGGTGGGCTTAGTCCAAAAAGAGAGTCAGCTCAGGGAGGTGGGATAGGAGTTGGTTTTATAGGTTTGGGGTAGGCAGTGGAAAGTTATATAAGTTACAGGTCAGGGCAGCTTTTGCAAGCTGGGAGGGGGTCGTAGGGTCTGGAGTCACAAGGTTGACCAAGGTCAGTTACAAAGTCCAGTTGCCTTATCAGTTGAGGCAGGAATAAGGAACAATAGAAGAATGTCTAAAAGTTAATTAGGTGCTGCAGGGGTTGATCATTTCTTCTCCTTTTGTGGTTTTACATTTACTTCAGACTTTCTAGTTCCAGGAACTCATCTGGAGTGTACGTGCAGGTCGCAGAGGTCGCTTTGCCACCCATGGCATGGTCAGTCGGCCTAAAAGACCTTACAGAATTGTTGAATGGCTTGAAGTCTAGTCTGAATAATTTTTCTTTGTTCTTTAAATACTTCTGAGTATTTGATAGAGCTCCTAGCATTATTAGGGTTCTCACCGGCCCAAAAGTGACTTGATCTAGAGAAAAGATGAACTAGATTTGAGTCAAGACTGGGGTTGTACCCTCTGCCATTTGCCAGCTATGTGATTTTGAGAAAATTGCTTTATATATATGGACCTCGCTTTCTTAAAGTCATGGTAATAATACCCACATTGCCTACTTCAAAATGTTGCTTAAGAAGCTGTGGGACTGGGCACGCATGCAGGAATCAGCAGCAGGTTGGCGTGTGAAAGGTTTTCTTGCTCTAGAACCTCATAGAAAATTCTCAGGGAGATTCTTCAAGCAACCACTATGTCAGCAGACCCAGATATTTTCCTTTCTTCATATGATGGAGATCAGGGATCCAAACTTATTCGAAAAGCTCAAGAGGCACCATTCGTACCCATTGGAATGGCAGGTTTTATAGCAATTGTTGCATATGGGTTATACAAATTGAAGAGCAGGGGAAACACTAAAATGTCTGTTCATCTGATCCACATGCATGTGGCAGCCCAGGGCTTTGTTGTAGGAGCAGTGACTGTTGGTATGGGCTATTCCACGTATCGGGAATACTGGGCAAAACCTAAGCCTTAGAAGAAGAGATGCTGTCTTGGTCTTGTTGGAGGAGCTTACTTTAGTTAGACATCTCTTTATTGAAGTTACGTATTGTTGAAAACTAATTTGTATGGGTTTAGATGGTAAAATGGCATTTTGAATATTGGCTTCCTTTCTTGCAGGCTTGATTTGCCTGGTGTGACCTCATTACTAGTGGCTAGTTTACTAACTAGGTCATTCAAGGAAGTCAAGTTAACTTGAAAGAAACATATCACCTAAATGCACTTGATGATGTTGAAATGTCCACCTTCTTAAATTGTTCGGCTGAACTTAGTTCTAAAGAAAATAACAGGCCAACCCTGAAGTACTCCCAGTTTGCTGCAGAATCTCAGATGTTTTGGATGTTATATGAGAGTCCTATTTGCCCCAGTCAATTTAACTTTTTTCTGCCTGTTTTGTGGACAGGCTGGCCCTTTTAGAACTCTGTCCAAAAAGTTCACGGAATATAACTTGTAAAGCTTTCCACAACTAACAATATGTATATGTGCATGTGTTTAAACCAAATGTAGAAAGCTTAGAGTAGTATTTATTAAAGAATCTCAGTTGTAAACATATAACTTACAGATTC